CTCATCTTTTCTGCCAACTCTAAACACATTCCAACCATCAGAATCATGCCCAGACACCAATTTTGTCTAACCCTAACCCTACCCTGGTGCATAATCCCAACCCTAATGCAGCGCTCAATTACCAATGAAAGACAGCGATTTTGAAAAGGCACTGCTTGAGTAGCTTCTTCTGCGCAGCTCATCATTTCTGCCCACTCTAAACACATTTCAACCATCAGAATCATGCCAGGACACCAATTTTTTCTAACCCTAACACTACCCTCATGCATACATCCAACCGTAAGACTGGGGTGAATTTATATTGAAAACGGGTGATTTTAAAAACAACGTCCCAGAGTAGATCCTTCGGCACAGCTCATCATTTCCGCCCACTCTAAACACATTTCAAACATCAGAATGATGCCAGGACACCGATTTTTTCTAACCCTAACCCTACCTTGGTGCATACTGCCAACCCTAATGCAGGGCTCAATTACCAATGAAAGACAGCGATTTTGAAAAAGCACTGCTTGAGTAGCTTTTTCTGCACAGCTCATCATTTCTACCCACTCTAAACACCTTCCAAGCATCAAAATCATGCCAGGAAACCATTCTTTTCTAGTACTAACCCTACACTGGTCCATACTCCCAACCCTAACACAGGGCTAAATTTATATTGAAAATGGGCGATTTTAAAAACGACGTCCTTGAGTAGCTTTTTCTGCACAGCTCATCATTTCTGTCCACTCTAAACACATTTCAACCATCAGAATTATGACAGGACACCAATTTTTTCTAACCCTAACCCTCTCTCTATTGCTGAATCTGGGTACCACAGGAGAACTTGGGCCTCTACGTCCAAGGAAAGAAGAGACCCAGGAGAAGAGACAACAGTAGGGAGTTGGTTGGTTCAGTCACCTCCAAATGAGATGAGTAAAGGAAAGGAATAATAATACCCCCATAATAAGTAAAATACTGCTAGGGATTCTCCCCACCATGTACCCACTGTTCAAGAGAGTGGGCGAAGCCCCTTTTGATTTTTAAACCCAGGAAGCTTGAGTCTGGTCTGAATTGGGATGGGAATGTGTTCTAGCCTCACTCCATCATCTTTCAATTAATTGAATGGAAATGGTGGTACTAGTTATATTAGCTAAGGATGACTCCTGTGTTAGATCATTTGCACTGAATATCTGCAATAGTTTTGAGCCAGGTCTTTCTGTGGCTACTTCAGGGATGCTGCCTTTGAAACCTCCTTAAATGAGACCATTTCCACTATAAACTGTACCATAAGTGGGACTCATTTTCAAGAGGTGATTCCATAACTACAAATATCTGAAGAAATTGTGCTAGGTTGGAAGACTGGGAGAATCAGAAACAAGGAAATAATAGGCACAGTGTAAAGGCCAGAACAGAATGTTCCCTTTATTAAACGGTCCAGGCTATGTTCCAAAAGACAGAATATTGTCCAGAATGGGTACTGGAATGTGGTTTCTGTAGAAACGGTGTTATGTATAGCATCTCTGCCATTTACAGACCAGTAACATTGTGAAGAGATATGGCCAGAAATGAATGGAACAATAATTTGGGGGTTCTTCTTCCAAAACCCTTTTGTGTAATCACAGCATTCTTTGATGCTTGTTTGCATTCTCAGACATAAAGTCACTCTGCTTAGCTTAGCTACATACATGTCTCTGTCCTTCTGTGAGATGGCCAGGGTCTCAAACTGAGGACTTTTGTTTTACTTCTAAACTTTACTATTCTTACTTCTCCCGAGACTCTTAGTAA